TGGGCAGACACTTTACCATCTGAGCCACCAGGGAAATACAAGCAATTACAGAAAGACGATGACTGCTGAGTTGAACTGTTCGCTAGTTGTAAAATCCTAACTGCAGTCTCTCAAAATTACACAGAATTAGGTAACAGAATTCTGTGTTCTGATTGTAAAGCCTGCCTGAAGTAATACTTTACTGGACCATAAATTGTTCAGACTACATTTCATGCCTGATAAAATCCTTACAGTTATGGTACAAAATTTAAGCCTTTGTTCTGTAACTAATCTTTTAAGTTTTCCAAAACAGAGCAGTTCTGGATTTTTTTTTTTCCCTAGAAAATGACATGACTAAAAGAATACTGTTCTTCAAAAATAGACTAGCATAATTAGGAATTTTTCTCAAATTATCTTTGAAATTAGTCTTGAACTATATTTTGTAGGTTTTCTAGGCAAGATGACTGGAATGGCTTGCCATTTCCTTCTCCAGGGGATTTTCCCAACCCAGGGATCAAACCTGGGTCTCCTGCATTGCGGGCAGATGTACTATCTGAGCCACCAGGGAATCCCTATATATACACAGATATATACATATATGTGCATATATAATGTTATAAATTCATAAATGTAGACATATAGATAGAGATTTCTGTATCGACTAATTTATCTCAGTCTGGAATTTAAGAGACATAAATAGATTAACATTCCTACAGCAGTATAATTGTAGTCACTGGTAACACTGAAGAGTGCTTTCTAATTTACAGGTTTAAACGTGTCATTATCAACTCTGTTTACTGCCTAGACAAAAATTTGTTGAAAATTAGATTAAACTGTTCTCTATGGAAGATGGGAAGATCAAATGAATAGGATATGGACTTTCAGTTCAGTTCAGTTCAGTCGCTCAGTTGTGTCTGACTCTGTGCAACCCCATGAATCACAGCATGCCAGGCCATACGGACTTTAGGTCCAGTCATATCTGTGTTCAGTTTCAGTTCCATGTATTCCGAGCTTGTATTCTTGCTTTAGGTCAGTTTTCCAGAGAAATGGACTTTGAGATGGAGGTTTTGATGCAGGAAGTTTGTTGAAGAGTGTATTTATGTTTAATTATAGGTGTCTCAGAAGGCAAAAGAGGGGCCTGGTCTTTCTACCCATGTGAGTGAAAGAAAGTGAAAGTGTTAGTTGCTCAGTCAAAGCACTTAGCTGGTCACTTTGGACCCTATGGACTGTAGCCCACCAGGTTCCTCTGTCCATGGAATTATCCAGGCAAGAATACTGATGTGAGTTGCCATTCCCTTCTCCAGGGGATCTTCCTGGCCCAGAAATCAAACCTGGGTCTCCTGCATTGCAGGAGATTCTTTACCATGCGAGCCACGGGGAAGCCCTTGTATCTGAATAAAATCAGTCATTAGACGTCAGCTGCCTGTGGGAAGGTGAACGATCTTGGGTCAAGCACTTCCCTTTGGTGGGATGAGGAAAATCCCCAGAGAAAGAGTCACTGTGAGCCACCAGAAACCAATACTATGGCAGCTGGGGGATGAGTGCCTTGTCCTGAGGGAGATCTGGGTTCAGTCCTGCAGCATCTTCCACATCCATACCTGTGACTCTTGGCTCTTCATGCTTCATGTATTACATTTATTGCATCTTGGAACAGCTCCTTCAGCATTCTGGTAAGTCTCCTTTCCTGGCAAAGCCTCTAAGAGGAAGGTTGGAACTGCCAGTACAGCTAGTTTCAAGGACACAGCTGATAACTACTCTCCCTTTATTCTTTTCTCTCTTCTACTAACTGTTCTAGAATATCCTTAACCAGCACTTCTATTGATCCATATGGCTTACCATAGGGGTGGAACAGGCCATTACTTAGGGGTCTGAACACTTCCTCCAGTCCCTTCTTAGGCTGTGGCTGCTGCATTTTCCATTTATTATTAAAAGCAAGGCAATACCAAGAAATTCCCAGTGAATCACCTGAATACTACAAATTCTTCCCTGGCCTTGTTATCTGACAGTAGCCCCTCCTCCTGATGATGATCACTTATCCCTAATAGGGGATGACTATTGTGATGACTCCTCTCTCTGTCCCTGTCTCCTAGGACAGGAACCCAAAGTAACTGGATATAAGGTATATCCTAAAGTTCAGTGAGATTCCTACTGTCCGCTCATGAAGCCTGTGTATGTGCTTAGTCACTCAGTCATGTCTGACTCTTGCAACCCCATAGACTGTAGCCCGCCAAGTTTCTCTGTCTATGGCATACTCCGGGAAAGAATACTGGAATGGGTTGTCATTTCCTTCCCCAGGGGATCTTCCCAACCCAGGAAACAAACCCGGATCTCTTGCATTGCAGGCAGACCCTTTACTGACTGAGCTACGAGGAAAGCCCCTCATGAAGCATGCTCCCTCTGAAAACCAGGATCTCTAGAGTCTAAATTCATGGGTTAGAAAGCACAGATTCCCCATTTAGGCCACTGGGAGTAATGTCAGTTTTGATTACTTCTACTTCCTCCTCTTGTTTCCTAGACCCATGTAATCTGTCTGTTGGATGCGTGCATGCATGCGTGCTCAGTCATGTCCAACTTTTTTGGAACCCATGACTATAGCCTGCTAGGTTCTTCTGTCCATGAAATTTTCCAGACAAGAATACTTAGAGTGCTTGCCACTGCCCGTTCCAGGGCATCTCTCCAATGCAGGGATTGGTCTTCTGCATCTCCCACATTGGCAGGCAGATTCTTTACCATTGCATTAACTGGGAAGCCCTGTCTGTTGGAGATGAAGTACCAAAGAATGGTCATGGGTTTAGTGTGTTTCCCACATCCTTTCCATGGCACCCATCATCACGGGACGTCATTTCCAAGCTGGTGCTACAGCTGCCCCTCCAAAAGGCTATTCCATATGACTGTCAGGCCAGCAGTTTCTAATTCATGCAGTATGCATCAGGATGAGTGGATCCCATGATTATATATACACTGCTGACTTCCACTGCATTTCCATTGGTCAGAGGTAATATTATGCCATGTCGTATGCTGATGAATCAGATACTCTATAGGCCCGCGGACAACGGTGATGAAAAAGGCTCTGCTGACAGATAAGCAAACCCTTATTTAGAACTAGTTTTAGGTCAGGTCAAAATGAATCACTGTTCTTAAAGTGGCAGGAGTCCAATGTCATAATCAGCTTTCTATCATGTGGCTGGTTGGTCTCCCTATGGATAGTGCTGAAATTGAAGCTCCGCACGGATCCCTGTTACTGCCAAGATGGGCAGCTCATCAGCCTTTATGAGGCTGTGGGGAAACAGAAATATATATTGTGTGGCCTGAATCAAATAGATGGCCTCCACCAAGAGAGCAAAAGGAAGGTTATTCTAAGGCCTAAAAAAGAAATGTAAGAGGAGAATGGAACTTCTTGGGCAAGGATCAGAAACAGGAATCAGAAGCTAAGAGAAGGACCAAGACTAGATCCCAGAATTGTTTAAGCTGCATAAGATGGTGGTAAGCCAGTGGCTAGAATGTGGTCTACTAAAATCTCAATAATTTATGTACTATATTATTCTTTCTTTTTTAATTTCCTGTTTTGTTTGCCCTTAATTTCTGTGGTTCCGTTTCATCTTCCTTACTTTTTGGTGGACTAGTTGATTTTCCAACTTAAAAGAACAGAGACCAACTTGGAAAATTTGGGCAAATTAATCACTTCTGGTGTAATTCATTTTCCTTATTAATAAAATCGAAGTGAAAATATTTGCCTCAAGAGTTATAGGATATAAAAGCATATCTACAAAGTACTGTGCATGGTAGGTCCTCAGTCACTTCTTGTTAATTTTGAAAAAGTTCTAAACAACTACTGCTGAATTCCTAAGAAGGAAATGATACGCCTCCCCTCTTTGTTTGGGGCACTGGTTGTAGAGATCTGGCAAAGTAGAAATAAGTCAGAGAAATAAGATGAGTTAGTAGAGATCCACTTCCCATGTTCCTAGGAGCTCACGTAATCAGATTCAGTGATTGGCCATGAATTTTGTTTGTTTTTTGAAATAGTATAATTTTTGTGTTAACTTTGAGATGTTCTTGATTTACTAGCTCTGTGATGTTAGGTAAATTCCTCAATAGTTCTGGACCCTAGAAAATTTTAATAAAAATATCAGTTACCTCATGGGGTTGGTAGGTAGGGTAAATGAGAAATGTGTGTAATTCACATGTAACTGTATATAATATCCCCTATGTCATATGCATGCAACCTGATTGCATCATGTCTACCATATAACAAATGCTATTATTATTATGCTTTCCCAAAATACATATCTGAGAGCCCAACAACATGTTTTATTTAAGTGTTTTTCCCCTACCTCCTCATTCCTCAAAGTGAACAAAGAAAACATTGGTTGGGTAAATATTGCATTATCATAAATACAATTTCCCTGAGAAAGGTGGCTTGCAGTTTGAATATTCAGTGTCACAGTTACAACTTCCATAAGGAATGTTGAACAGTTATTATAAACAATACAATGATCACTTGGTCCATAAGGGAGAACAGATTATCGGGGGAGTGAGAAGAGAGAAGTAGCAGGAGCCTGTGTTCTAATCAGCATTCAAGAGTAGAAACACAGAACCTGAGAATAAGTTGTAATAGCCTCTTAAAATACTCTTGTTTGAATTTATCAAACAGTCTTCTCATGATGCAGAATTCCACAGGTTGGTTAAGTCCTGTCTGTGTAATTTTTCCTTATATCTAATCATTCTTAGTAAGCATCCTCCCTGTATCTTTCCTCATTGTCATTCATGATTGCTCTGCCCCTAAGAAATTTTAAAAAGCAAACTAACAAAATGCAAAAAGCACAAAATATTTAAAAAAAAATAGTTTAAGGGGAGAAAAATTTCATCAGAGGGTTTCTCTCTTCATAGTTAAATGTGTCTCCTTTGTCAAGGGAAAAATACTAAAAGTTTTTTTTTTTTTAATGCTCTTTTTACTGCTATTGCCTTAATTGGCTTTCACTTAAATTTACTTTTTTTCCCCCTGTCTTTTTTATTTTTTGCAGGTGATATGAGAAAAACAGAATGCAGCTTTCAAGGTTGGTACTTTTCATGATGTTTTAACACCTCTTATTAACATGAAACAGAGTATGAAAGAAACAGTGAAATATGTCCTTAGTTTCTCACAGGTGTGCTTAGAAGACATTATGCTTTTATTTTTCTCACTCCTGGATGGAGAAGTACAGCGTAAATTGTTACAAAGTACAATGTAGCAATTGAAACTGATAAAATCTTTGACAAAATTGTGAAATTTGAAATATTCAATGGTTTTCTACTCTATCCATTCATCATGCCATCCATCCACCGTTCATATATTTTTTTTCAGTGAGTACTTATTACATACATACTGCATACAAGGCCCTGTGGTCTGATTTTCCTCTATTCATACCTTGTTTGGCTGGCCTTCACCATATTCCCAATCCCACACATTTTTCCAACGCTCCTTGATATCTTTGACAATAAACCTTCACCTATTATCACAGGCCTTCATTTTAACTTGCTATATCTGATACCCGAGCAGTGTTTCCAGCACATTGCTCAGTTATGCACTCAGTTATGTCCCAAATAATTGAGGTGGAGAGGAAACCATTAGTGTGACGATGAGCAAATGACTCCTCTCTGCATACTAATAGACTGTATGATGTTTTTTACTATTGTGTGCAATGCATTGCTACTTATAGATTACTAAAACATAGTTTAGTAGTAATCTATTTATTGTAATCTATGAAATCAGTTATCTTTTCTCAAAAGTCTGGCTATAGGCCTTCTTTCACTATACGACTTAAGCAATCTTAAGACACTCAAGAACAAGTGTGTTATTACATTGTATTTTAAAACAAGCAAAGCATTCTAAATACATATGAAATGGCTCTTGGTAAGAATGGCAGTGGTAGATTGAACCAAACTTCATGGAAAACAGAGACTGAAATTTTTCTGCTAAGCAATGGTTAGTGAATAGAAATTTGTAAACTCATACTCTAAATATTGTTTTAATTAATTTTGAGGGAATTTTCCTATTTTTTTTCCATGAGCATTATTATATTTACCTAAAGGAGGCTTTCTAATTTTCCTTACTAAAATTGACTTCCTGTAAAGCATTAAAAAAACAACAACAACAACTGAAGCCTTGAGGTCCTCAACAGAAAATTCTGCTGCCAGAGGCATTTTCAGAACATAACTTTCATAATTGGAAGGGACTCTAGTGACTATCTGCCAATCCAATTTTACTCATTTAACCTAAAGAAGTCTAAATTATCTCAACCACCAATCTATGTAATTATAATACTTACTGGGAAGTGCTGAGTAGTGGTTGAGAAGTTGGGCTCTCAAATCAGAGTGCCTGAGTTTGAATGTTATTTACCCATATATTTTTTGCATGTTGGGCCAGCTTATTAACATCTCTAGTCCCTGCTTTCTTTGGTTGTAAAATGAAAGAAATGAGATTACATTCTTCATAAGGTTGTTAGAGAATAAATGAGATTGTGTGTTTACAAATCACTTTGACATATTGTAAGAATACAGTAAATGATTGTTGTCATTATTATTACTTTTCTATGATTACTGTTATTATAAAGCATTATTATTAATGGCAGACAGCATCTTCACTTCTCTGAAATAAACTTCTCTATGGACATGATCTTTCATTTTCCCCATCAGAGATGTATATATTCACCCTACGGTCACATTTGGTTGCCTGTGAAATTATAGATAACCTGGGACTGTCTATCAAGTTAGGATATCTTCTGGTAGCAAACAGTATCTATTTTTTTTTCTAAATACAAGATTTTGATAAACATCACCAAGGTGAAGAGAAGTAAGCAATTTGAGTGATTGCTGGGGGTGGGGTGGGAGTGGAGAAGAGAATGAATGATAGCAAGAAGGAAGTCACTGGAAGTAGAGATTTGGTGCCAACGTCCAAATCTCACTCGGACAGAAACTATCTTTGTCTGTGCCTCTGTGTGCAGAGAGCCCCTTCATTCATAGTGATGGGAGGCCGGATAGATGGACGGGAGGCTGATGATGATTGGTGAAAGAGAAGAAACCTGCAGGAAAGGTTGGAAGTTATTATTCCATGGCAATAAAAATGACAAAGTAGAAGAACCATGTAAAAGAATGCAGCTAGAGCTCCTTTCTCTTGGTGAGACCTGCAGAGTGTTTTATGTAGCTATCATCGATGCATATTAGACGAAAGCCATCCCTCCCTCAGTGGAGACTGGTCACTGACCCCAGACCGTGTCACCAACATGCAAAGGCCATCCAACACGAGCTTCGTGGTGCCGGGGCTCAGGGTAAGCCCAAATGCAAGGGGTTGGAGTGAACAGATCCTACTTTGTTCAGCCTCTCTTGGTGAGGCAACAGACACCCCAGGGTCCACCAGACTGATGGCATAAGGAGGGGAGATTTGTCAGCTTCCCACACAAGTCCTTGGATTCATCTTGACACATGTTCTGGCAAGTATGTATACAGGTTAAACTTTGACCTTTTATAGGAAAAGAGCCCCCTTTGATCCAACAGGAAAAAATGGCACTTCTAATTCAGTGTCATAGAAGTTGCCAGGTATTTCATAATCCAAGTAAAGCAGGATAGTACTGAAATGTCTTCATCTGGCCTCTGAGTTAGCAAGACTCAAAACCTAATTTATATACACACATGGATAAAGGGGCAGCACAGCTCTCTAGTGTCAAAGTAGTCTCATCCATCAGTGTCTGAAACATCACTGGGTCACTCACAGTTATGGTCTTCACACTGACTCCACCATACATGATAAAAAATTATCTCTAATCCTGTGAAAACTACAGTGGTCAAGGAAGAATCGAAAGAAAAAAATATTGATGGTCCCAGACCCACCTCCAGGAAATCCTGACATTTTGATTGAACCTGCCTGTGACATCTAGTCTATCCCTACATTATCGCTGAGCACTCTGTCACTTATACACACGGTCGTGTCTGATGACTTGTGTGATCCCCTGGAGGTCTGCTCATGCCCTTCTCCTGAAAGGGAATCAGTTACAGACTTGTATATCTAAAAGGTACTTTAAACTAATATTCATTTTAGCCTTTTTTTTTCCCTCAACTAATGAAATTCAGGCCCACAGAAGTTCACTTAACTGTCCTAAGTCATGGAGTACACTAGTGTCCAAATAAGGACCACAATCACTTTGCCTTACTCACTCCTGAATCTGGACCATCAAGCAGTCATTCACCAAGATAGGAAAGTCTTGCTTGGAATGGAAACTACTTCTGAAACACTGCATTCTGTACCATCCAGTGGCCTGAAATTGTCATTCATCTTCTGTTGTTAAGCCCTTCTCAAAGGGTCTTACTTCCCTGACTATATCAAGAGTTCCATAAGGGTAGAGCTCATCACTACAATTTCTGTGCATTTTTACCATATTTAGAAAGCTCTAAATCAGTAAACATTGTGCAGCTTATTTTGATCCAAGCCTTGTCAAGAGCACTGAACCCTTACCTCTTTCAGCTCAGTGAGTTCCATTTACATTACTTGTAGAAGACCCTCTCCCCAGAAGGTGACCAAAAAGCAAACACATATGATTAGATTTTTGTTTTTGCTTTGGGGTTGTTTGGGGGTTGGTTTGTTTTCCTATTTTACTATGGGATTAGAGAAAGAATAAACATATCAAAAAATTAACTCACTGAAATAGTCTGTACTTGCATAAATGTATATTTTAGGACATAAGTATAGGGAAGTTAGTCAAAAGGAAACATTTAATCCATTCCATTGAGCTGAAATTACTTGAGCTTAGTGACTTACAAGCTGAATCATTAGCGAGAATGGTAAAGATAGAGAAGCCCTTTGGAAAATGTGAATGTACTTTGGAGCAGATAGCAAGAAGGGTCCATGCATGTTTAGTCACTCAGTCGTGTCTGACTCTTTGCGACCCCATAGACTGTAACCCACCAGACTCCTCTGTCCATGGGATTTCCCAGGCAAAAATACTGGAGTGTGTTGCCACTTCTTTCTCCAAAGAAGAGTCCAGAGAATTAATATTATTAGAATGAAAAGTCTCCATATTTTTTAAATATGGAAGAAAGATTGCAAATAAAAAAAATTCCCTTTTTATTATAGAGTCTAAATCTAATTTCCCTTTGTCCTTCCTGTGTATGTGAAAATAGGATGTAGGTCTTATTTCCATGTCAGGACTCTTTAGTACTGAGATTCTTTCACACCAAGAGCATTGTGTTTAGATTTGGGTACCACAAATTTAGACAGCTATTAAAAAAAACAACAACTATTTTTCCTTGCTTCTAAATAGTGCCATTCAAAAAGAACAGATTAGATAATAATTATTAATTAAAGAGAATTCTGATATTCACTTGACTCTTTCATAGATCATTTAAGATGATCAAATTAATAACTCCTTTTTCCCATCTCTCCTTTATTTACAACAGGCAATAATATTTGAATTAATATTTTGAATTCTCACAAATCAAAATATTAAACTCCTCTTATGCCCCAGTTCTCACAGTTTTGTTGTGTATATCTCTTTCCCCTCTTCCAACATTTTAGTATGTAATTCAACCTGGATTCTCTGCCTAAACCTTCCCTCTGTCTCTCCCATCAGTCTGATTTTATCTTGGCACATTATCCAGATTTTTCAGTGAGAGACAGTAAAATCAAGACAGACTCTGGAAATACTAAGGGTAGTCACATGTTAGTAAATCTTGTCTCAGCCATTTATATTCTGTATATTAGTATACATTTATATACACGTAAGTGCATGTAACGAGGATGGTGATAGACTCATAATTACACTATTCGTAGCAGTTAGGCAGAGGAACCATGTGTAGTGGGCAGAAAAATGGATCCACTTATAATTGAATCCATTGGTGAGGTATTATTAGTGTAATACTACTATAGTATTATAGCACTGCTAAATTTAAATGTATTTTTGATACAACTAATTGTGTAATTTACTCTAGCATTAAATCTTGGTCTTACCTTGGGATTAATTTCTCTTTTCTTATTTTTCCCTGATTTGTTTGCTTATTTATTGATTTTCATGTTGATCTTCTTCAT